TTAGGTAGTTTTCATGTATGTCATGGTAGGTACTCAACCTAAGATTTTATGACTCCATCCCAATCTTGTTAATAGTTCTACGGCATACCTTAATAGATATATTAGTAAGTCTGCAAATACTCAAGAGGTACTAATAATGCTTATTTAGAGATTAGTAATGGTGATAATAATTTAGTTTAATGTACTGGTTCAAACAATATAGAAATTCTTGAATAAGTAGAATGTAATGAGTTATATGTGTACCTTGAATAATAATACAATTGATTGAGATTTTGTTCTACAAGTTACAAATATTCTTTCAACTACCAAAGGGAAGTATATATATATATATATATATATATATATATATATATGACAATGAGTAATGACATTTAAGGAACTATATGTTTACAAGGTTTGATTCAGAATTGCTCATATTTAATTCTAGAATATTTGACTTGGAAGTTATTTGTTAATAGGAAAGCTCAATTTAATAGATTCCATAACATCTAGCAATTTCAATATAGCCCCTTGTTTTTCATACATACATATATATATATATGTATAGAAAACCTTGAAACCTAAAAAGTACTTAAATTTTTAATTCTCTCTTTTTTAAAATGGATTTAAAAATTGGTCCAAAATGAAGGCTGTTTTCAAGGAAAACCAAAAGATAATTCAATTTATATCCTCCCAAGTTGTTTTAAAAAAAAAAAAAAAAGAAGAACAAAAATCATTTCCCTCCTCCTCTTTCTAGTTAGTTAGGTGTTTATGAGGGAATTGTAATTTAGATATGGACTAAATGTAATATTTTTATATGAATACTTTCTGTTAATTAATTATGATAATTAAACACCACCTATTAGTATATTCAATATTTTAAACCGTTACATATATATATATGTATATATATATATTATCGTTTATGATGAACTTTATAAGATAAGATTAAAAAAAAGAAAAAAAAAAGAGGGTTATTAGTAACCATATCTCTCTGTTTGTATCTAAAAAGAATGCCACGAAATCAAAGAGGTTATATATATATATATATAACATTTTGGATTTATAAAAAGCAAACAATTCAATTCTGTCAAAGTAAATCTCATCCGTGGAAGGTGTCGATTGCATCAACTTCCATAGACTATACAGATCAGGCCTCCATTTTCAAATCACTGAATGAACATGCATACCCAAATCACTATAAAATCATTATTGAATTGATGAACCGGATCATACCTATACATTTTCTTAAAACTAAATTTACATTTGATTCAATTAATATTACTTAATTTCAAACTCTTGAAGAAAATATTAGTGTAAAATCTTAAATAAGTCAATTTTTATTTTTTATTTAAAAAAAAAACAAAATTAATTGCTTTTTAGTTAAATTAACTGTGAGTTTATGTATGAATTTTATAACTTTTTTATTCCAAACACAATTCTGATAATGTATTTTAAAAATATTCTACGCAGTAGCAACATGAAGCTTAACTATAAAAGATTTATGCAGGCAAACAAAGTTTTAAGTACTACCACTACTGCGCTTCCGCTGTGTTTAATTCAAATTTATTATATTTTAATTATTTGATATGTAGAAATTCATTATAATTTATGTATTTAATTTATAATCTATCTGACCAATTTAACTCACACTCTCACCTCCACAGCCATTTCAACCTGTTAAAAAAAAAGAAATACAAAAACATCTCTAAATTGAATTAAAATACTCTTTTTATTCAAAAGTTTATGATATTTATATTATATTTTAAATATTATTTTATGAAAACAAAATTTCGAATAAGACAGAATCACACTAATAAGATGATAAAATTTCAAATAAGCTCTCGCATGAATGATCGATCGAGTCTCCCTCAATGAAAGGAAAAAACTTTTTTTGGTGAATTCATCTCCTCCGCTCCGGAGATGAAGGAAGACCTTTTGAATTCCAGGGTCTTGCAGATAAAAATTTGATCCCCCCCCTAAAGACAGAAGGACATATATGAGACAGGATTTTACCAGACACCATTAAAAACCTGTAACCCACATCTTTGCATTATGCAATAACTTCTGACTTTCAGTCACTCTTTCCTTTTCATTTATAGAGGAATGGATAGTTCAATTGACTTTTGACTTTCACTACTTCCCTGCAGTCTTTCTGTAGTTTCCTCTTGAAAATTAGTCACCTTAGTGAACTTATCCCTCAATTGGCCAGAAATTGACTTCACATTTAAAACCTAATTAAGGGGGGAATGTATTGTAATTCCTTTCTTCATCGGTTATATAATACAATAACTTCCTATTTTTTCTTAAAGAATGATGATGCATTGCAGACATCCCAGGAATAGGCTGAGCGGAAAATGGCCATCCATTAATTATGCAGTGACAGGTTTAAGTGCAGGTGTCTGCTGCAAACTTGCTGCATAATCCCGTGCCCACAAGTCATAATGTATAATTTCCTCCAGGGAAGGAGTGGATACCAATTCTGCCCTGTGTTTATCACATGTTAGCTCCACAACCTTGAAGATATCCAGATAGCTGATCCTGAAAGTATGAGAAGAATATTAATTAAACTTTTTCCCTTTCTTTCTTTTCGACAATAAAAAGCAGCTAGCATCAAGGACTGAGCAAGAAATGGTCATAGGTGAGTTGATCCTCAAGTACAACATCAACCAACAAGTTTAAATGTTTATAAATACATATGAAATGAATTTAGAGCTAAATCACACACTTAAAATTAGTAATTTCCAAGGGAGATAAATATCACCACTATAACATTACTAAACATTTGGAATCTAAGTTGTTAAAAGGAGACTAGCCTTTAACAAAACACAGCACAATGAGCAACTATCAGATGCCAATAGATCATAACGCTCTCCCCCTCTAGAACTATCATGATAATATGATAATGTTACTGCAGAAATATTGAGAAGAAAAAGAATAGCAAGAACTCACAACTGCCGACATTTTCTAGACATTGGAATTCTCAAAATGAAACTGCCTTTCCAAAGCAAAGAGAAGATACTGAGATTTTATGTTTTAGAGAATTAGTCTATAACATTGAATTAGCATTAAAAGAATACTAGCCTATATTATCTTTAACCTCAAGCTTTCATGAATTCTTAAATAATCTTTTTAACCTCAAGTCTCATTGAATTCTTAAATAAATTTCTTTGCTGTTTATCTTAAATTCTTTATTATTGTAACAGTTTTCACAATCATAAAGCAAATTTTGGCTTCTGAATCTACAGCAAAATCAGGAAGAAATATGATTGAGATTGCTACCACTTAAAGAGAACAAAAAATACTTACTTTTCATCAATGAACATCTCTACAGCTTTCTCATTAGCTGCACTAAGAACTCCTGTCATGGTGCCTCCAGCCCGTCCAGCAGCATAGGCAAGATCCATGGATGGGTATTTTACATTGTCAGGGGCCTTGAAAGTTAATGAACCAGGCCTGCATTTGTCCATTTAAATTTACTTGCAACATACGGAAAGGAAAGAGAGTTCTCTTATCAAAGCTATAGCCTATTATCATGGTTTTCAATATTACTTTACAAACAGTTGTTTTATCATTTAAATTTTTACCATGCTCAATGAATTTTAGTTTCTCTTATCAAAGAGAGGATGTAGATAGCAACCATGGAAAATTTTTAATTTTACATAATTTTCATTACAGTACATCCCATATGAAACTCTTTCATCAATAAACTGAAGGATTTTAGTTTAGAAAAATCAAATTGACAAGGGAAAAAGATAGTTACTTGCAAAGATCAAGGCGGGGCCAAGTTACTTCGGAACAGTAAATTCGTTCAGGCCACGACATTGTGTAGAGGATTGGTATACGCATATCAGGCCAGCCCAATTGTGCAAGCACAGATGAATCCTGGAAGGAGAATGGTACAAGAGTAAATCAGAAGAAAGAAGAGCACATCAATAAGACTCCTACAAAAAGAGAACAGGTTTAGTAACTTCTGATATCAAATTGAAACAGAAATCAAGAATGAATGAGATTTGAAACATCCAAGCAGAAGCCAGAATCAGAAGATATATGAGAGACCTGTGTTTCGACCATAGAGTGTATGATTGATTGTGGATGAATCACGATCTCAATGTCATCATATTCAGCTCCAAACAAATAATGAGCTTCAATGACTTCTAGGCCCTGTCATTCAAATGGCAAAAATAAAATAGTAAATGCCTGTTTAACTTGGACAGTAATGGCAAGTTCGGTTAACATATAGCATTGTGCTTGCAATTTAGGGTTGCAAGTATCTGACGAAATCAAACCTTATTGAAAAGTGTAGCAGAATCCACAGTAATCTTTTTCCCCATGTTCCAGTTAGGGTGCTTCAAAGCGTCAGCAACTTTAACTTCTTTCAGTTTATCAACAGGCCAATCCCTTGGAAACAAAGTGAAGAAATCATTTCAGTACTCTGATAAGAGAAGGTGATAAGAAATTATTATAAAAAAAACATGGGGATATTTACATTTTTTACTAACAAAGATAAGGGTCATAAAAGAAAATACACATTAGAAAGAAAATGTCAGCATAAGTTTTGAAAATGTTAAGTTGAGCTGCTTAGTAAACAAAGGAAAAGGAAAGCCAAGGACGAAAACAAGTAAACAGTTCATAACTCCTGACCTCACAAAACCATGCATAGGATAAGTTTCAAAAAAATAACACGTTGTTTATGGACAAATATAGTATCTCCTAATGTATATTTCCAACTCAGATCCCAAAGTTCAAATTCAAATTATGATCTCTCACCTGAAAGCCCCACCAGATGCAGTCAAAATAATCCGTCGGAGAGCACCTTCTGGCAAACCTTGTATACACTGAAAAAGATATCCTTTTAAGTGTCTCTTACAGTATGAAGGAATGGAAAAAGGATCCGCATTCCAGAAGTTATTGTACTGAGCAATAAAATGACCCAAGAGGAAGAACATAAGATGGATGTGCACAATTCACCAAGTTAGCTATGAGAGACTATTGTAACACCTGAAATATTGCAGAATGTTCTGAATCAGCTGGAAGGATTTTCACATTGTGCTTGTGAGCAAGAGGAAGAACAAATGGACCACCAGCAATCAAAGTTTCTTTATTGGCCAGAGCTATGTCTTTCCCTGCTTCTATTGCAGCCACTGTAGGCTGCCAAAAAATAGAATAAACTTATCATGTGTAGCACCAATAGTACATACATGCATCTGAATTCTGAATGGTTAAATAATGAATGTTTGTATATTATTCCAGTTTCCCTGCATTTCACTGCAGATGGCAGTGTAATTAAAAAACTTAGAGACAATGCATTATATTAGACGGACAGTATGTTCAGAATTACAGAGGTCTCTTTCTAGGAGATTAATGCTTCTCATTTCAAAAGATAATAATTATTAATCTTTAGGCTTCCTTAGATCTGAACTACACAACACAAACTTTTTCATATCTTGGCAGAAGTATTCTGTGGCATCAAATGTGGGTACATGCTACTGCCATCGTTCATGCAGGCTCGTGACAAACAATTACCTTTCTGAGGCTATTGACAATAAATAATGGAAGAATCAAAGTCTTTCACGTCCAGAAAAAAAAAAACCCGCTCTGCTCTAAAAGTAGAGGGAGCACAACCAAACAAATAATTCAGACAATAATTACCTTTAATCCCGCACAACCTACAATCCCAGTAACTACAGTGACAGCATCTGAGTGGCGAGCAACCTGCAGATGGTTTTAAGCAAATTCTTCAGAATAGTAAAAAAGACTTTGAGCTGGTAAACCAAATATGACTATTAGATTCATGGCTACCTCAATCACTCCTTGCTCCCCAGGAATAATCTCTGGCTTTTGCTCAGCATCAGCTAAAGCTTCTTTCAGTTCATCGACCAGTGACTCATTTCTGACAGCAACAAGTTGAGGCTTGAATGTCTTCACCTGTAGCATGCAAAAGAACAAAAAAAAAAAAAAAAAGAGAGAGTGAGAGAAATGGAAAAAATGACCTCAGATAATTGTTATTGAGCTATATTTCAAACAATAGTGAGTCGGTAAGAATATATTATCCAGTTTAGTTTCTGTTAATTATACCATATGAGCAATAAAACAAGGATACTGGATTTGGAATCCAGCAACCAAATCAGAGTTCAAACAGTCCAGGTACCATGACTTATGGGAGATCATGATCTTTTAGGGCTCATAGGAACTTGGAATCAAGAAAGAATAACAAGTTATAACAAACTATATACCTGGTCAGCCAGGACTGCTACATTTGAACCGGCAGCAAGTGCTACAACTCTGAATTTATCTGGATTTTCTGCCACAATGTCCAAAGTCTGTAAAACACAAATTCCAATTTTAAGCAATTGATTAACAGAGAATTGATTCAGACAAATCTTAAGGGGCCAAAACACCCCCGTAAACAAATCATTTGCTTGGTTTGAAAAAACTGATGAGTTTCAATTCTGCAAAATGACAAAGAAGAATCCTAGATAAGGACTATTATTAACCATCATTCTCTTTTAGGATTATTTTTCAAAATCCGGCCATATAAAAAAGCTTTTGACCTATTCCTATATTAAAACCTGAAAACATGTTTTGCTTGCTCTAGTTTCCTCTTTCATTTGCTACATAAAATTTGGATTGAAGTGGGGGAAAGGAAAGGATAGCTTGGGATGCTCCCATCCTTTGTTTAGATAAAAATATAAACAGTAGTTAAAGAAAGCTTCCTTTACACACTTGAACAAAACAAAACACAATTGTCTGCTTTCCTTTACTTTCTGAACTTCTAGTTATTCAAACAAAAAAAAAAGACATTTCTTTAATTTCCTTTTAATCCCCTCTTTTTCTTATCTTTTACTTCCTCCCTAGTCCTTCATTAATCTTTATCCAAACATTTGGGAAAAAGTAAACACACACTACTAACAAGGGACAACCACATAATATAGCTCTAGCTGCATTTTTTTAGATTGTCCATTGGCATTCTGCTTAATTTAAGTGCCATACCAAGCAAACACTGTAACTTCTCAACTGAAGTTAACCAAAAGCTCTCACTACTTTTCGACAATTCAGGCAACACACAGAAATGGTAAGTATTAAAAACAGTCATAAACAGTCAAAGTTGCATATAATTATCCCAAACAAATGGTATCTTTGTAAGAAAAATCAACCCCTGTATTTCTGATCTAGTTTGTTATGTCTACCTGAGTTCCAATGGAACCAGTTGATCCCACAATTGAGATAGGCTTTGGTCCATCCCAAGTCTTCCTTCCTGGCTCTGGAACGGCTCGCCCTGGCCAGGCTGGAGGAGGTTGATGCAC